AGTTCTGGCCAGTGCAGGAAGGCAAGAAAAGGAAATAAAAGGCATTCAGATTGGAAAGGAAGAAATAAAACTGTCCTTATTTACATATGACATGATTGTCTGTGTGGAAAATTCCAAGAAAGCTGCACAAAGTCTAGAACTAATAAGTGAGTTTAGCAAGTTCATAGGATACAAGATAAACATACAAAAATCAATTATATTTCAATGAACACACAGAAACAATTTAAAATACAACACCATTTAAAATCACCAAAATAAGAGAAAAATACTAAGGAATAAATCTAACGAAATGTGTACAACACATATGGTAAAAGCTACCAAATATACAAATAATAATTGGAAAGAATACCATGTTCATGACTGGAAGATTCAGAGTAAAATCGTCAATTCTCCTCAAGTTGATATACAAGTTTAACATAATTCCTATCAAAATTTCTTGTAGATACAGGCAGATTATTCTAGAATTTATATGAAAAGGTAAAGGAACTAGAATAGCTATCAATTTTTTTGAATAAGAAAAAGAGTGGAAGAAAACAATCTACCCCATTTCAAGATTAATTATGTAGCTACAGTATCAAGACTCTGTAGTGTTGGCAAAGGGATAGACACATAGATCAGTGGAACAAAACAGGGAACCCAGAAACAGACCTACACAAATATGACCAACTAATCTTTGACAAGGGTGCCAATGCCATTCAAAGGAGGAAGAACAGCCTTTTCAACACACTATGCTGGAATAACTAGATATCCATAGGCAAACCCTGCCCCCTCCAAAACCAAAACAAAACCAAAACTCTTAAGTCTCACACCTTACACAAAAATTAACTCAAAATAGATCATAGACTTAAGTATAAAATATAAAACTGTAAAAATTTCAGAAAAAAGCATAGGAGACAATCTTCAGGATAGGGCCAGGCAAAGAGTTCTTAGACTTGACATCAACAGCCTGATCAATCAAATGAAAACTATTAAATTGAACTTCCTTAAAATTAAAAGTTTTGCCCCATGTAAGGCTTTGTTAAGAGGTTGAAAAGACAAGCTACACACTGGGAGAAAATATTTTCAAACCACATACCTGACAGAGGACTAGTAGTTAGAACATAGAATACACCTATGAAAATGGCTAAATTTTTTTTTTTAAGTGACAATACCTAATGTTGGTGAGGATGCGAAGAAACTGGATCACTCATACATTGTTGGTAGGAACATACAATGGTACAGTTACTCTGGAAAACAGTTTGGCAGTTTCTTTAAAAACTAAATATGCACTTAGCATACAGCCCAGCAACTGTGCTCTTGGCATTTATTCCAGAGAAGTAAAATTTATGTTAACACAAATATCTACATACAGGTGTTTGTATCAACTTCATTTGTAATAGCCAAAAACTAGAAACAACCCAGGTATCCTTCAATGGGTGAGGTTAAACAAACTGTTACATTCATAACATGGAATACTAAACCATAAAAAGGGGCAAACTCTTGATATACACATCATACTGAATAAAAAATGGTAATCCCAAGAAATTACATACTGAATGATTCCATTTATACAGCATTCTTGAATTGACAAAATCATAAAAATGGACAATAGATTAATGGTTGCAAGGCGTTAAGGAGGAATTTGAGTAGCAGAGAGTGGGTGTAGCTATAATAAAAGGGCAACATGAGGAGTCTTTGAGATGACGCAAATGTTCTGTATCTTGACTGTGTAAATGTTAAATCCTGGTTGATATTTTACTACAGTTTTGCAAACTACTGGGGAAAACTGGGTAAAGGGCACATGGGTCTTCTCTACATTACTTCTTACAACTGCATGTGAATCTACAATTGTCTCAAAATAAAGTTTTATCTAACAAAGAGCAACTATATGTTTCCCACCAAAGCCACACTTTAAATATAAAGCCACAATTAGGTTAAAAGTGAAAGGACAGAAAAAGATATACCATTCTAACATTAGTCAAAAGAGAGCTATTTTTTCTACTCTATCTTGGATTAGCTATTTTACTGTAAGAAAAAGTAGATTTCAGAGAAAAGGATATTACCAGGGATAAAGATGGTTATTTCAGAAGATGAATGGGTCATTAATCATGAGAACATAAAAATCTTAAATATGTATGCCCATAATAATGGAACTTCAAAATACACAAAGCAAAATTTGATAAAGTTGCAACGAACAATAAACAAATCCACAATTATGGTTGGAGATTTTAATACCTCTCTTTTAATAACTGATAGAGTAAGTATACATAAAATTAGCAAAGATATAGCTGACTTGACATATATTATCAATCAACTTGACCTAACTGACATTTATAGAACAAGAACCAAACAAGAGAAGAGGGGACTTCCCTGGTGGCGCAGTGGTTAAGAATCTGCCTGCCAATGCAGGGGACATGGGTTTGAGCCCTGGTCCGGGAAGATCCCACATGTCGCCGAGCAACTAAGCCTGTGTGCAACAACTACTGAATTTGGACTCATTTGGCCATGAAACAAACATCTTTGTGCCTCAAGATCATCTCTTAATTTCTCATTTTAATTTCCCTCACAATCTTGTGAGTTGCTATAATATTTTATGGTATTTTAGTTGATATAAAATATTATTATGGCCTCCTTACCAATACCAATTTGAACTTTAATACTGACCATTCTTAGCAGTTCTTGTCTCACTATTTTCAAAACTAAAAGCATTTTTGAAAGAAAAATTCAAATAAAAATTTCATTTTTGTTTCAAGTAATCTACTTTTGCTAGAAATAAGTGGCTCTGAAGACCCTCCTAATAGGTTTCTCAGTTACTTGCTTTGCTGTTAGTCTGCTGAGGCTGGATGTACATAATGTTCCAAAAGCCAGTTTATCGTAAGGTAGATAGCTAGTAGGAAGCAGCCGCATAGCACAGGGATATCAGCTCTGTGCTTTGTGACCGCCTGGAGGGGTAGGATAGGGAGGGTAGGAGGGAGGGAGACGCAAGAGGGAAGAGATATGGGAACATATGTATATGTATAACTGATTCACTTTGTTATAAAGCAGAAACTAACACACCATTGTAAAGCAATTATACTCCAATAAAGATATAAAAAAAAAAAAGCCAGTTTATTCCTGAAGTTCACTCTGTAGTAGATTACTCTTCAGCCCATGTGTCATATGAATTTAGACATTAAACCTCAAGGTAGGGGATAATATTATATAGAAATATAGCCAAATGAGCTTTGTTTCAAATCCGAGACAGAAATCCATCAAACCATCTATTCATCAATATTTTCTTAATACCACATTATAGCTATTAGATCAAACCAAATGTGGAATAACAAGATAAAAAAATTTTAATCCTAATTTGTTTTCAGTCCTTGAACTCTTGACTACCCACTGACTGCTTCTTCATTGTTAATTTTAAATTATATGAAACACTAAGCATTGACTGAGCATTCAGGAAATGTGGCTGTGAGGCCCTGCACTACAGATAATTTTCTGGATGATCTTGGGTGAGTCATTTAATCTCTCCAGTTCTTTTTATTTTATTTTTTTATACAGCAGGTTCTTATTCATCATCAATTTTATACACATCAGTGTATACATGTCAATCCCAATCACACAATTCATCACCCCCCCCACCCCGTCTCTCCAGTTCTTAATCTCTTCACCTAAAAATAAGGAACTTGGAGTGTTAGATTATTTCTAAGCTTTCTTTGACTCCAAAAGCCTATGAGTCTATTCTTCAAGAAATTTTAATTAATTAGAGCCGACCTCTTGAAATTAACACCATTAACTGAAGGAACCTAACTGAATTTCATTTCTTTCTATGACAAAATTGGACACAGTGATACTACTAAGTACCATCAAGAGGGCAGTGGGGAGTTACACTTACCTCTCATATTTTCTACTGATTCACGTGGGAATGCCAAGGTATTCTAGCTTCCAGTCTGATTCAACCTTAGTAAAAGACAGAACTCTTTTTTAGTAAAAGAATTGATTCTTGGGTTAAATTGGGTTAAATCAACGTGTGGATTAGTGGATCATTGTCAGAGACTGACTTCTTAGTGCTCTATTCTTGGCCTGTTGCCCTTTTAAACATTTTGTTAGTGATCTGAAGGAAACTTTTTCCAAAATCAAACTTGGGAGAAATATCTAATATATTAAGGCAACAGAATCAGGTTTCAGAAGAATCTCAATGGGACCTTAAAAAGTAGGCCAAAAGCACGGAGATAGACATTCACAAGAGACAAAGGTTAAGTCCGACATTTGGTTCCCAAAACATCAGCTATTCAAATAGAGAAAGGAGAAGAACTAGTTTGACAGTAGTTGCATCTTCCCCTCTCCTTTCCTTTCCCCCACCTTGCATTCTAGCTCAACGAAGCCCCACGCGGAGCTGATGGCACTGCACAAATTCTTAAAACGTGAGTACATGCCTGAACTGCAACAGCAATAGTGTTCAGATCAAAGAGAGAAAGTGCACCCCCTATATCCTCTACAAATCAAGCCTCACCTGCAGATACGGATCAAGTTTGGGGCAACCTACTTAACAAGGCCATGGTGAATCATTCTTGATACACGCCGCGCTGGCTATTGTGCATAAGTAATTTGAAGCCAAGTCATATAGAGAGTGCTTGGGCTCTAGGGAGTCTCGTTTGTTGAGGAGTAAATGCAGGAAGGACGAGCACCTTTTAGCAGAAAGCAGGGTGAGGGAAAACTGCCACCCCCAGCACTTGGCTGGCAGCTCGCCTAATGAGGAAGTACAAAGGCGTGGCCCCGCCCAGCGTGCCGGGTTGGCCTAGAACGCCGGAAGGGGTGGGGCGGACCCGAGCGCCGTCGGAAGTGGCCCGCGGGACCCCTGCGGTCAGGCCTACACGCGTTCCGTGGGCCCAGCGCGATGGTGACGTTCCGTGACGCCTCAGTGGTTGCTGGGGCACGGTGTGGGCGTTCGGAGTCGGGCTTCTCTCTTCGAAGCACCTCTCATCGGGAGCGGGCGGCTGTGACTGCAGCTTATGCGGCCGTCCTGGCCAAGAACCATGGGCCCCGGGGGCGCAGGCTGCTCTGACGGGCTGCTGCTGACAGTCGGCTGGCTGCTCCTGGCGGGCCTCCAGTCAACGTTCGGGATCAACGTCACCGCGGTCCAGGATCCCAGCTTGGCCGGCGAGGGCGAGGGCGAGGGCGAGGGCGAGGGTGAGGGCAAGGGCAAGGTCGAGGGCGAGGGCGAGGGCGAGAACGAGGCCGAGGAGGAGGCTGAAAACGACAGCAAGGCCGAGAACGAGCCCCAGGCTGAGGCCGAGGAGGATGGTAAGTGTGGGAGGCTCCTTGGCGGGGACCCGCAGGCACCCGTTGAGGGTCAAGCCTTCCCTGCTCTTTGAGGACGATGAGAATTATCCAAGTTAACATCTGTAGAGCTCTCTCCCAAAAACAACCCCAAATTTATACATTATCGCACACCTCATGGCCTTAAAAAAAAGATGTGCTAATTCTCCAAGACCAGAGCAAGATAAACGAGCACATGTATAGAAATTGCTACAGAAATACTGCTAAATATTGCTCTGGACAAGGGAATAGATGATTATTTTTTTAAGCATCAGAGAGTAGCTTCCCACCACGGGGACCGATTTTGACTCCCCTTACAGTTATGATTTTTCCTTTCCATTGCAGATTTTTTTTTTTCTTGAAGTTCCAAATTGCCTGAGGTCTTCCTCCTTTTTTCACATTTGCACTTTGGGTTAGAACTCAAGGGAGTTCCCAATTCCCCTCACGGTGACACATCTAGATAAACCAAGATGCTGACAAAATTCCCCGGAAGCCCCGTGTCAGCTTCATGCAGCCTCCACCCTTGAGCACCTCTGCAGTGTGATAGTGTTTTATTTGTAAGTTCAACTTTGAGTCACAAAGGAACGGTGGCAGTAGAAAACATCAATAAAGGGATCCAACTAGAGGCTTTGTTAGATGATATAATACATGTTAACCAACGAAAACTGAGCCTGTGTTTGATACATCAATTTACCTTATTCTCCTGGCTCACTAAGCAATAAAACTTGACAAGCTGTGGTACATGTTATATTGATTAGTAACTCACGTGCTTGTAGGTAAAAGGTCAGTTGCAGGTCTTCAGCCATCTAAAGGGGACTATTTCTCTTCCCTCCATAAATGACCCAGCTGAGATTCTTTTAAATGTCCTTGGCAGTCTTATGTCTCCTATAAGTACAAAGTAGGTGCTGTATTTATCAGCCATTCTTTTACTTCCTGATGACGGATAGTGACCCTCAGCGACATAAAGAAATTGACTATCTGATGTTAATGGTGGAATTGAGGTTTGTACTGCCTTGATAACATTCCATTTCAGAGAGCTTGGAGAAGTCCTTGACTTTGGAAATATGAAAAAGAGGACTAGGGTAGAAAAGAACATGTTCTAAAGTGTAGTAGCTATTGATTCCCTCTAGTTTTAAGAGTAATTAACAATTTAAACTGGTCAAGGGATAGTTCTAGCTGTAAATGCTAGAGTTTAGGCTAAACCAGCTGATGGAGTTATAATGCCTTAGATTCAAATTTGTGTTTCATAATGTACCAGCAGAAGGTATCCAAGCATTTCAAGCAAAAATGTCAATTCAGAATTGATCAAAGTCATAGTCCAAATTATTTCACAAAGTCAATATTGATTTACTTATATATACATCAAGTGTATATTTGCTTGCTGTATATTCAAGACACTGTATTTGGTGCTTATAAGTATAGAAGTGTTTATGAAAAATTACAGTAATCAAAATAGGAAAAATCTTAGAATTATATGAAATTAATAAGTAGAAAATGAATGAAGTGTGAATGAGGTTATGCTATCTTAAGAATGCTTGTAGGGCTAAACAAGTTACAGAATGCTTGCATGTACTCTATCATGTTTAATTCTTATGATAATCAGATAGGTTCTCCTTTCCAAATTTTGCAGAGGGGTTAAATAGGCCTGACACAGTTGAAGGAATTTGCCCAAACTCAGAAAAGCTAATTAGTGGTAGAGTAGCAACTTGGACTCCAATTTTGATGCATAGTCCCATGTAATATTGTTGCCTCAGGACATAATGTCTTTAAAAAATTACTTTCTAGCACCTCATTTAATATTTATTTTTATTGAGCTTTTAGTCCTAATCTGAGTTATGAAGAATTGATTATATGCTACAGCTAGTGGAATTCATGTCAAATTCCAGAACATTTAGAAAAAGAGAAACATGAGATTTAAAACCAACAATATTTAGCTACTCGAATACTTATATATTCCTAGATTATCCTGCTAAATAAAGTGTCGAAATAAATTCTTAGGAATAATTTACCATCTTAACCTGAGAATGAGTAGAACCAATCTATAACATAATTTTAATGAACACTTTACATAACTACTTCTTTTTGGGTAGAAATAACACACTCAAATTTTTTTTGAAAACAGAATAGAAAAAATTGGGCCCTATAATTGGCAGACTTTTTTGTGTTTTTCTGACCTCCTATATAACTTTAACTCACCATGTATTACACTGATGAAAAACATTATTTTTAAATTATGTACAAGGTTCAAATATAAATCTTTGTAAGGTATTTCCTAATTTAATTCTTCAAAGGTTTAGTTTTCTTTTGATTTAAACAGTGATAGAAGATGTACTTGGAATGGCATTGCTTTTCTGATTTAATAAAACTTTAAAAATGTCTGCTTCCCATATGATAAGTGCTTGTATCCTCCATCCCCAAGTAAGAGTTCTTCACTTAGAAAAGTTTTCCTATGATTAAATAATGTATTTTTGCATTTATGTTTAGTTTCAAATAGGACAATAGTCAAAGAAGTAGAATTTGGGATGTGCACCGTTACATGCGGTAAGTAGCATAGAGCAGATAAATAACATTGTATTGGGGCAGGGGGGTAAAAACAATGTGTACTCTCATTCATCTCTCACTGATTTCTATTTCTAATATCTATGATTTACACACAAAACTCAAACTGTTGGCTTTATAAGGTAGGATATTTTCAGTTCATAACCTCTAAGTCTTACTTTAAGCCAACTCCCTATATGTATATATTTTGGGGGGAGGGGCACATAAACTGCTTTCATCAAAGTAAAACTTTATCTCACAGATGTTCAGAAGATGAAAGATCTTCTGATGCATCTCACAGATGTCTACCACATACTGTGCTGGCAAATCTATCAAGAAATTTACTTTATTTGTAATAGTCTATTCTAAATGATACATTTTCCCAATTTATATGTCATGTTTTAGAGAAAAGAGGTATTGGCTTTGTGGGGAAAATAATATTCAAAAACTATGACTTATTTTGATCATTCCTTGAATAGAAATTGGACATAAAAATCTCTTACATGGGGGTAGGATTAAGACTACACATGCTATAGTAGACCAGTGTTTCTCAAACTTAAGTGTTCACCCTAGGTGCCTGCAAGGCTTGTTAAAACATGGATTGCTAGGCCTACTTCAAAATTTCTAACTCACTAGGCCTTTGAAGGGGTCTAAGAATTTGTATTTCTAAACAAGTTCATAAATGAAGCTGATGCTGCTTTTTAAAAGACCATCTTTTGAGAACCACTATAGACTAGTGTGCTAAGAAGACAGTAGATAATTCACAATGAAATTAAGTTTATTCTAAATAGAATCTGCCTTGGAAAAAAGACAGTGACAGGAGGGAAGGACAAAAACCAGAGGATAAGAAGACAGAAAGTCCATGCAGGTATGGATCAGAACAATATGTACACTTTTTATTTTTTGGTCAAAAATTGTGCCTGAATTGTTTTTGAGATAGCATTTTTAAATGATGTTAAAATAGACTTAACAAAAAATTTACTACTTTAACAATATTTTAAATGTACAATTTAGTGAAATTAAGCACATTCATGTTGTCATGCAGTCATTACCATGATCCACCCCAGAACTTTTTCATCATCCCAAACTGAAACCTCCACACCAATTCAACAGTAATTCCCCACTCCCCCCAGCCCCTTGCAACCATTATTGTACTTTCTGTCTCTTGAGATAGTTGAAACCTGTTTTTTACTTTAACTTCTTAGTGTGTCAGAGTCAGAAAATTAGAGGAATTCTGTGTAATAAACCTGTGTTTATTCATTTGCAAATTACATCTTCTGCCTGCTTACTTGAGAAGTTTTCACAGGTAGAGAATTATTTTTATGACAATTCTAGTAATTGATACTGTCCTACTCTATTATTTAAAGATGTGCTTCAGGGACTTCCCTGGTGGCGCAGTGGTTAAGAATCTGCCTGCCAATGCAGGGGACACGAGTTGGAGCCCTGGTCCGGGAGGATCCCACGTGCCACGGAGCAACTAAGCCCGTGCACCACAACTGCTGAGCCTGCACTCTGGAGCCCGTGAGCCACAGCTGCTGAGCCCACGTGCCACAATTACTGAAGCCCGCGTGCCTGGAGCCCATGCTCTGCAATGGGAGAGGCCACCGCAGTGAGAGGCCCGTGCGCCACGGTGAGGAGTGGCCCCCGCTCGCCACAACTGGAGAGGGCCCACGTGCAGTAACAAAGACCCAAAGCAGCCAAAAATAAAATAAGTAAATAAATTAAAAAAAAAGATGTGCTTCAGAAATTATATATTATATTTGTTTATTCAGCAATTTTTTTTGTTTTCTGTTTTTTTATTCTTGCCTACTCTGTGTCAGGTATTGTTATAGGTGCTAGGAATAAAGCAGTGAACAAAGAAGTGGAAACTCTCTGCCTTCAAAGAACATTTTTTGGTAGGGGCAAAAAGATTAAAAGTGCCTTCGGTTTTTTAAGTAAAAATAAAAGGCACACTTTTCATTTTCACCACGAACTTCATTGAACAACGTATTCACCCTTTTGCTCCAATACCTTCTGCCATTTTTCAGGCAACTTCATAATTCCATCTTCCCAAAACTTTTTATCTTTTTGAGTAAAGAACTGTTCCAGGTGCCTTTTACAGTCTTCCAGGGAATTGAAATTTTTTCCATTAAGAGAATTTTGTAAAGACCGAAATAAATGGAAATCTGAAGGTGCAACGTCTGGTGAATATGATGGATGAATCAGAACTTCCCAGCCAAGCTGTAACAGTTTTCGCCTGGTCATCAAAGAAACACGCAGTCTTGTGTTATCCTGCTAGAAGATTATGCGTTTTCTGTTGACTCATTCTGGACACTTCGTCGAGTGCCGCTTTCAGATGGTCTAATTGGGAGCAGTACTTGTTGGAATTAATCGTTTGGTTTTCCCGAAGGAGCTCATAATAGAGGACTGCCTTCCAATCCCACCGTATACACAACATCACCTCCTTTGGATGAAGACCAGCCTTTGGTGTGGTTGGTGGTGGTTCATTTCGCTTGCCCCATAATCTCTTCCGTTCCACATGGTTACAACGTCCACTTTTCATTGCCTGTCACAATTTGTTTTAAAAATGGAACGTTTTCATTAAACGAATGTTTTCATTACTTTTCAGTAGAGAATCGCATGCAGAAATATGGTCAAGAAGGTTTTTTTTGCTTAACTTACCTGGAACCCAAACATCAAAGCGATTCACATAACCAAGCTGGTGCCAATGATTTTCAACGCTTGATTTGGATATTTTTGAGTATGTTGGCTATCTCCTGCATGGTATAACATTGATTGTTCTCAATTACTGTTTTGATTTGATTGCTGTCAACTTCAACTGGTCTACCTGACTGTGGAGCATCGTCCAGTGAGAAATCTCCAGCACAAAACTTCACAAACCACTTTTTACATGTTCAGTCCGTCACAGTACCATCTCCATACACTGCACAAATCTTTTTGTGCGTTTCAGTTGCATTTTTACCTTTCTTGAAATAATAAAGCATAATATGCCAAAAGTGTTGCTTTTTTTCTTCCATCTTCAATATTAAAATGGCTACACAAAAATTCACCAATTTTGATAAGTCTTTTTTTAAATGTACACTGATATGATAGCTGTCACATACTATCTAACAAAATTGTTTCGAATGAAGTTAAAGACAACTAAGTGCTACTAGAGCCATCTTACGGAAAAAATCGAATGAGCCTTTTGGCCCACCCAATAATATGTAAAACATGTAATATGTCAGATGGTGATAAGTTCTAAAAAGAAAATAAACCATAAAAGGCAATATTTCACATCTATAATTTTAAGTTTTAAATCTTCAATTTATAACAACTATTTAAAGGAAAAATTGCTTTAGTGAAAATTCTGTTGAACCCCCAAAACAATATTTTAGCAGTCAAAAAGTTTTCTTTTCTTGGAATATACAGGCAGATTTTTAAGAATGGACTTACAGAAAATCTCACATCTACACACATCATTGCGATAAACTGTATCTGGCTAAATAAATGCATAAAATACCTGCTTGGAAAATATGCATTTCAGCATAAGGCTATGCCTCTAGAGAAGTGCCATTCATAAATTCAAGGGAAGCCATTCTGCAGCCATTCTTAAGCATCTCTTTTAATCAAGAGACCTTTCCCCCTCCAGCCTTCCTTCTCTTTATCTTATATGGAGTACTCTTCTTTGTGTCTCAAAGTTTGGTCCACAGACTTGCTATATCAGCATCGACTGAGAGCTTCTTAGAAATGCAGAACCTCAGGACCTACTGCAGACCTACTTACTGAATCAGAATTCACATGTTAGTATGTCTCCAGGTGTTTGGCAAGCACTCTGAAGTTTGAGGAGCGCTGTTATAAGCCATCTCTAGACTTCACCTTTCCCTTGCCTTAAGAGTGGGTTTTATGATTAACATCTTGCAGGGACTGAAAGAGGGAATCTGGTAGAAAGGATATCAAGAAGGACTATTCCTTAGCCTGTGACAACACAGTCTTAATCACAGGTCATTTATCACAGGACATGTTCAGCACGTCACTGAACCAGCTTTTATCATTTCCTTCAATTCTGGTGATGTTAGGGAAAACTTGGTGGAGATCTGAGATCAGTCAGTAAAGACGTGATTTCTTGCTATGAAATGTATGGCAATTCTAATGAGAGTATCTTTTTGGAAATGGAGATTTGGTCATTAATAGTCTATCCTGATGCATTTAATACAGGGATTTTTACCAATTTAGATATTAAAAAGCATCATTTATGTTAAAATGTAATTTTTGTAATTTCCTCTGCAAGCTCAACCCACACCCTGCCCCAAAAAATTCCATGGTCAAATAAATTTGGAAGATCCTGTGTACTACCGTATTTCATCAAATCTGAGACTTTCTTGGCTGTGGTAATCACATTTTATGCATCTCTAAAAAAGGAAAAATGCTGCCATTCTTGACACGCTGTCAATTCTAAGATGCATTCTGATTTCAAAGATGTTAAAATGTAAAAATTTTACATCTCAGATCAATGAAAGTTTCCACATAAAAGCACATTAATTTACTAGCATATTAAAAGTTCCCCTAAAATTCTGAGGAAAGAGGTTCCTTTCATTTTAATGTAATGTATAATTTCCAAATGTATATAATCATGGAATCCTTTTTCTTATGGTAACAACCAGAGGAAATAGTGTTTCATGTAACTCGCTTTGGAAAATGCTGTTTTATGAAATAATTCAAAATGAGGGACCTAAAAATATCTAAATGTTATTACCCTGAATTTAGGAATTTAATTTCTGAAATTAAGAGAAAAGTCTCAAAAAGACCTAGGTGCAAAAGTAAAGGAACTCTGGAATTATTATTTTTAACATTTGCTTATTTCTTTTACCAAAGGTGTTGGTATAAGAGAAGTTATATTAACAAATGGATGCCCTGGGAGTGAATCCAAATGTATCATACGGGTGGAAGAATGTCGTGGACCAGTAGATTGTGGCTGTGAGTTGGCCTATGTATTGGAGGGAGACTGAGGAAGCATTTACTCTGGGGAAATATCCTTAACCTCAGGTTGCCGTGAGTGGAAGGAGGTGATCAAATGATATACTGAAAGGAGTTCATAAGAAAACTTAAGCTTCCGCTTCTCTAGACAGTTACAAATCTTTCTACTTTTGCTTCACATTTTTTCAGTGACGTGTAAATTTAACATATATTCTCTCTAGTACACTGGAACCGTATTGCAGTCAGGGTCTGTGGTTGAGGCTGTCCTCCAGTGAAACGCTTTTGACACTGTGGTCGTGACAGCTTATCAGTAGATTGGTAAACCCTACATTGGGAACTTTTGAGAGCCACCCTATACCACCTTTCACTAGTCAGATTCCATTATCTTTAAACATGGAAGGGGCGGAGTGTATGGGGCGGGAGGGGGGTTCTGACCCTAACCAGTAAATTGGAAGCCACTAGTAGATCTCAAAGTTTAATAGATCACTGAGTAGTTTGCCCTTGCTATCTCTTCTCCATGATTTATTCTGCTGAAGGAACAGACAGGTATGGTGTTTTCTACCTGCCTCTTTTGGCGACTTAATCTTTGACGCCTCTCTGCTCCTCTACAGTCAAACTTTCAGTGATACATTTGCTAACTTCCAGCATGTAATTGGTTTTAAAGTTGGAAGTGACTTTTAAAAGTAGTATTGTGTATAAAGCAGTTTACGGTGCCCACTGGTATATATGTATTTAATTTTTCTTTTTTTCAGGGGGTAAACCAATTTCAGAAAGTCTTGAAAGTGTTAGGCTAGCATGTGTTCATACATCTCCTGTAAACCGTTTCAAATATATTTGGAGACTTCTAAGGCCAGACCAAGTGAGTAATGAATATATGTAATTTGGTGCTTTCTAGTGAGTGATAAAATTTGTTTCCCAGTGCTTGAGCACTCTCAGAAAACTTTCTCTTTAAAAGCAGTTTGCAAAAATGAAGTTAAAATCATACAACTTTATTATTATTGGGATTTAAATTTTTTCATTGCTTAGGGAGGCTAAGACTTTACATATGCCTTAGGGCCAGCTACTATCAGAACTTAAAAACACCTATTTTATGTAAAGTGTTCTATTTTGGAAGCAAGAGTTTCATTTGTATGTATAGTAAAAACAGTACTGATAACAGTAGCTAACATTAATAGATGACTTATTCAGTGCCAGACATACACAAAGTGCTAGAGTTTCTTTTACTCACATAACAATCTATGAGGTAATTCCTGTCATTATACCCATTTACAGATAAGTACAGTTGTTGCTCAGTATGCTCAGGGGATTGATTCCAGGACCCCTTCAGATACCAAAACTGGGGATGCCCAAGTTCCTTATGTAAAATGGCGTAGTATTTGCATATAACATAAGTACATCCTCCCATATACTTTAAATCATCTCTAGATTATTTATAATACAATGTAAATGCTATATAAATAGTTGTAAATAAAATGTAAATGCCAAGTAAATACTGCTGTGCAACCAATTCAAGTTTTGCTTTTTGGAACTTTCTGGAATTTTTTTTCTGAATATTATTAATCTCTGGTTGGTTGAGTCCACTGACATGGAACCCAAGGATATGGAGGACCAGCTGCAGCTGAGATGCAGAGAGTAACTTGCCCTGCTTCACACAGTCAGGAAGTTGGTACTTGTTATCTGGATTATCTGACTTTAAAATACATGTGCATAATTAATTACTGTCCTAGAATGAGAGAAAGTGACTCTTATTTTGTTATAAGAAATAAATTGTTTCCTGATCTTAAGTTTTCATGGAGAATGTTGATACCTTTTTTTTTTCTTTTAAAATAGCAAGCCGTTATACTTGCAAATGATTCAGCAATCCTGGAGGTTCACAGGGATACTCACCCCAAGGCTTTTGAGTGTGAAACATTGGATAATAATGAAACAGTAGCATCTATTAAATTCACAATCTATACAACAACTGGTAAGTACCCAGCAATGTTTTGGTTTGCTTATATCTCAAACTTCAAAGCACATCAAAATCACCTGGAGGTCTTGTTGAAACACAGATCACTAGCCCAACCCCCATAATTTCTGATTCTGTAGATCTTTAGTGGAGCTGGCACAAGAATTTCCATTTCAAACAAGTTCCTAGGTGCTGTTGGTCCAGAGATCACATTTTGGGAACCACTAGTTTTATACCATTTAGACTTTTCTACAAGGTAATACTTAATTCTTATTTTTTTCCACAAAGAGAGTCAGATGTACCTCACTTTGGGAAACTGGTGTATTCCTGAAGTATCTCCAAAGAACAGTCCTTTAACTTGAATTACATTCTTTCTTTTACTTCTATCACAGAGGTGAAAATGGATACATAGAATTCTAATGGATGCTTAACAAAAGTTTTGATACTGTAAAATAAATAAAATTAAGAAACGTTATTTCAAGGTATATCTTTTTAAAAAGTATTCATTCGAAGACATTTTTTTATGAAACAATAAATACAGTCCTCAGTATATGTCACAAAAGGCAAATCTTGACCCAAACATAATTTTACATGTTAGAAACTGTGCTTCCCTTGCAAAAAGGATCCATGTGCATATCTTTTCAATTTAAACTATGATGTCTTCTGTATCCAAATAATTATTTCCTTTTGTTGAGTTGCTCTTAACCATTTTTATTGTTGTCATCTGTGTTTTTGGGTATGTGAGGAGTTTGGTCCCAAGTTCTTTTGAGAATCCAATCAAGGCTCGGGAGGCTTTTCCCAGAAAAATACCCATGTATACTAACATGCCAAAAGTTACCCGTAATTTTAAGAGAGTTCATGGATTTCTTGAAGCTATTTCTCAATCCCAAGTAAAGAACTCAAGCTGCAGTCTAGAGATACCATGAAACATAACACGCTTTATTGAACTGGAAACAAGCTAAGGTGTTTTGGGGGTGATTTTAAAAAGTAAACTATAACTTTCTTTGATGTGTTGTTCAGTGTCCTTAAAAAACCATCTTTATGGTGAAAGCTAATAACCTTACTTCTATGTTGGGATAACAGGTGTTATTAAAAGGATACTTTCAATAAAGTGCTATAAAAGGCAAAAAAGGACCAAACATCATCAACTAAAAAGTATCTCAGTGAGTCATAGTTCAGGATATTAAAGGATTCAAGGCCATTCTCAGTTATTGTCCCCACAGCTTGGTCCCTGTTAGGACAGCTTAGTAGTGGTTAGCTCTTCCTATGTTAGAAGGCAACATGTGTAAGCTAAGGGCTGGAGCACAGACGCCAGTGTCAGCAAGTGAGACAAAGTTGATTTTTCTCTCTTGTAGCTGTCCAAGGCTGGTGGGGTAGCTCTGCCATCTCAGCACATGCACTGGTTAAATGACAAAATGTTTTCAGAAAACTTTGGTATTTATTAGTTTCTTTTAAAAGGGACAATTGGGCATACTGCTGTGACAGACCCTTTTGGCTCTTTAGACATCAAACAAATATTTTGGCTATAAATGTCCACACAATGTGGTACTGGCTTGAAACGAGTGAATGATTGAAATAGTTTCAGGGTAAATATGGTTTAATTAATGAAAATGTCCCATCCATTCTCTCATATAACAGGTTTTTCACTTCCACAATAGTTGTCTTTCATAGTTAGGCATGGTTTTGATTGAATTATGTCCCCCTGAAGAGATACTTTCAAGTCCAAACTCCTAGAACTTCAGGAATGTGACTGTGTCTGGAAATAGGGTGGTTGCAGATGTAATTAATTCAGTTAAGACAAAATCATACACAGTAGAGGAGAGTGGGCCTTTAATCCAATATGACTAGTGTCCTCATAAGAGGAAGGAAATTTAGACACAGACACACAAAGAGACAGGAGGATGTATGTGAAGACTCAAAGACAAGCGGGGAGAAGACAGCCATGTGAGGACACACGGAGATTGGAGTTGTGCTGTCACAAGCCAAGGAACATCTGGGGCTACCAGAAGCTGGAAGAGGAAAGGAAGGATCCTTCCCCAGAGCCATTGGAGAGAGCATGGCCTTACCGTCACCTTATGTTCAGGCGTTTATCTTCCAAAACTGTGAGACAATATATTTCTGTTGTTTTTAAGCCACCTAGTTAGTGGTACTTTGTTATGGTGGCCCTAAGAAACTAATATAAACATAAACTTAGTTTTTCTAAAAAGTGAGAGCATCGAAATTCAGCCTGTTTTTCATCAGAAAATTTCAGTAGAAATGCAGACTATCTTTTTATTAGATACAAAAGTAATCTAAGGGACCCTTGCAAGAAGACTACCATTGAAATGAACCAAAATCTTTATACCTCTCATTCTCCATCTTCTCTTGGCTAGTATTGCAGGGTAGTAGATAAATGGAAAGAAATTTTGCATTTCTTCTTCTCAAGTTTTAATCCTAAAAGGTTTTTTTAAATTTGAGCTTAAAAAATCCCACTGCTTCTATAAATCTAAAATTATCAAAAATAAAAATATTTTTAAAATCCAGCAATGTTGGAATATAAATATGATATAAATTGTCTACCATATTTGGAACTATTTAGTGAGATTACTAAATTGAGTTTATAGCTCTAGAATTACCAAGGAAAATGGAAAATTATACTCCATGGTGTTTAAAGAATAGGAATAAAATCCAGATGAATAAGCAGTTGAGATTGCCCATATATGAGACTAATTCTGTTAGAGTGGTACTTACCAAAATATTAAAATACATAAAACATAGCTTGCACAAATCATTATATCTCCCTGGATGTTGGTTTGCTGATCTGTATAAAAGTTGTATAAGATGATCTTTCTGGCCCTTCCCCACATGAATCTTTTATGAGTCTATGATTAAGGGGCCAGGAAGAGCCAAAAGAAAGCTACATAATTCACTGAGTAAGTAATGCTTGATATAAATTGAATTTTTATCAGTTTACAATGTAGCAGTGTTATAATGCATATGGTAAACTGGTCATGTTTCCATAATAGCACTATTTTCAGGAAGAACAGAAAGATATGGGAGAGAATGCTGATTTAAAAGTGGTGTTTGGCTATTTGTATGAAGAAGAATGAGCTTCAATTCCTACTTTACAATGTATACAAAAATTAGAGATGTATTATAGCCCTAAATGTAAAAGCTAAAACCATCAAGCTTAAAAAAGGAAACATAAGAGAGTATCTGTATGATTCAGGAGTAGGCAAGTTTCTTTTTAGACATGACAAAAAACAATCACCATAAAGGAAAGATTGCTAAATTAGACTTCATCAGAATTAAAAACTTCATCTTCAAAAAATGGTGTTGAGAAAACTGGACAGCCACATGCAAAAGAATGAAAGAAGGTCACTATCTTACATCATACACAGAAATTAACTCAAAATGGATTAAAGACTTGAATGTAAGACCTAAAACCATAAAATTCCTAGAAAAAACATAGGCAGTAACCTTATTGATATAGGTCTTAGTGATATTTTTGTAGATCTGACTCCAAAGACAAGGGAAACAAAAGCAAAAATAAACAAATGGGACTGCATCAAACTAAAAAGCTTCTGCACAGCAAAGGAAACCATCATCAAAACGAAAAGACAACTTATGGAATTGGAGAAGACATTTGTAATGATATCTCTGATGAGGGATTCATAGCCAAAATATATAAAAACTCACACTAATCAACATCAACAACAACAAAAACCAAACAACCTAATTAAAAATTGGGCAGAAGATCTGAATAGACATTTTTTCCAAAGAAGACATACAGATGGGCAACAGGCACATAAAAATATGCTTGACATCACTAATCAGGGAATTTCAAATCAAAACCACAAAGAGATATTACCTTACACCTGTTAGAATGGCTATTATCAAAAAGGAGTAGAAATAACAAATGTTGGAGAGGATGTGGAGAAAAGGGAGCCCCTGTGCATTGTTGGTGCAGCTACTATGGAAATCAGTATGGAGATTCCTCAAAAAATTAAGAATAGAACTACCATAAGACAGCTATTTCACTTCTGGGTATTTATCCAAAGAACATAAAAACACTAATTCAAAAAGATAGATGCACCGCTATGTTCACTGCAGCATTATTTACAATAGCCAAGATATAGAAACCACCTGAGTGTCCATTGGTGGATGAACGAATAAAGATGTGGTATATATACATACAATAGAATACTATTCAGCCATAAAAAAGAATGAAATCCTGCCATTTGCAACAGCGCGGATGGACCTTGAAGGTATCAATCCTAAGTAAGTCAGTTGGAGAAAGACAAATACAAAGATTTCACTCATGTGGAGTCTAAAAAAACAAACAAAATAAAACAAAAACACACTCATAGATACAGAGAACAGATTACTGGTTGCCAGAGGGGAAGGGAATTCAGGGGTGGGTGAAATGGATGAAGAGGGGAGTGCAACTCTATGGTGATGGATGGTAACTAGACTTGTGGTGGGGATCACTTTGTAGTGGATACAGATGTCAAATTATAATGCTGTACACCTGAAACTTACGGTAGAAAGTTTTAAACTTCAGCTCTTTAAAAGGAATCATTAGAGGGCTTCCCTGGTGGCGCAGTGGTTGAGAGTCTGCCTGCCAATGCAGGGGACACGGGTTCGTGTCCCAGTCCGGGAAGATCCCACATGCCGCGGAGCGGCTGGGCCCGTGAGCCATGGCCGCTGAGGCTGCGCATCCGGAGCCTGTGCTCCGCAGTGGGAGAGGCCACAACAGTGAGAGGCCCGTGTACCGCAACAACAACAAAAAAAGGAATCATTAGAAAAATGAATAGGCAAGCCAAAATCTGGGAGAAAAAAAATTATAAAACAAGTACAGCAAGTACAATCAGTTTGGGAAAAGATCTTGCAGTTTCTTGGAAAACTAAGCATACCTCTACCCTATGACCCAGCAGTTCCACTCATATGTATTTACCCTGGAGAAGTGAAAATGTATGTTCACAAAATGACTGGTGTGAAAATGTTCATAGCAGTTTATTTATAATAACCCCAAACTGAAACAGCATAGGTGTCCATCAGTAGGAGATAGAATAAACTAATTGAGGCATAGTACCCAGTAATAAAAAAGAAAAAAACTATTGATACATGCAACAATATGGTTGAAGCTCCAAAACATTACACTGAGTAAAAAAGCCTTACACAAAAGAATGCATAATGTATGTTTCCCTTCCTATGAAGTTCTAGAGCAGGCAGAACTAATCTATGGTGGAAAAGAAAATCAGGACAGTAGTTGTCCCTAGAGGTTGGGGCAGGGATTAACTGGGGGGGGGGGGCTCGAGGAAACTTTGGGGGTATAGTAATATTCTGTGTATATTCAGGGGTTTGAATTATATATGTCTGTTTGCATTTGCCAAAACTAAATAAATGCACATTTAAGATCATTGTGCAATTTGGTGTTCATAAATTTTACCTCAAAAGAAAAAATATAAACAAAGGTTGAACTCTAGTTAATGATATGCCTGTTGAAGAATTTTGTAGGAAGTGTGCAGACATCAGCAAATTATCTTGAAATACATCAAAAAATAAGATGAATCAATGGATTGAGAAGAGTATGGATAGAGGGATAGTTAAAATGTTGATGGTAGTGTCTAGGTGGTGGGATGTTTATTGTCAAATGCTTTCAACTTTTCTGTGTGTTTGAAAAGGGCACTTCTAACACGCAGAGCAAGTTCATTAATAACTTTGTTTCCACTGATTCTTTCTGTATTTTTCTAGAGTTGTTTTTCAAATATAAAGTTTCCATTTAGATATCCATTTTCTTTTATTTTCCAGTAGTAATAATCATCAGGTGTTTTTTTCTCTAGAATTGCAGATGAAAAGATCAAGCCGACCAGACACTGATGCAGTCCTAGTTTTTGTTCTGACCATAGGAGTTATTATGTGTATATTCGTGATCTTTGTACTGATCTTCATAATTATAAACTGGTAGGTGAAGGACTGAAACTAAGCCATCACCCGTGATTGATGTCCTCCTTGTCTGCCCCTCCCTGTCTGTTGAATCCAAGGCCCTGTCCATGATGCTTCTCACATGGGTTTTGAAACTGTCCAACTCTCTTCATCCCTCCTGAGACTCTCCTAATTTAAGCTACCTAATCTCATGACTTGATCCCCAGCCATGAGAAAGCTTTTCAATGCAAGTTTTACAATTTTACATAGTAGTTGCTAAAGAAAAACGTTTATTGAATTAATATTTGTGTTGTCTAGTTGTAGTTATCACAACTTTAAAAGTTGGTTATTGTAACCTACTAATTCATTTATATGAGAATATTTCTGATACCTGCATAAGTATCACCCCCCTGGTACATGTGAGGGCTCATCTACTATCACAATGCAGCTGGTGCACCACACAGTAAAAATATATCATGACTAAGGAGGCACTTCTATATATAGAAAACTAAATATAAATTTATTTAGTTTTCATTTCATAAAAGATTTTAAAAATGTTTTTCTTCCAGGGCGGCAGTCAAAGATTTCTGGGGGGCAAAAGCCTCGACACCTGAGGTACAGTCTGAGCTGAGTTCAGTGAGATACAAAGATTCAACCTATCGTGACCAATCACCAACAGAAATACCTGGACATGAAGATGATGCTTTAAGTGAATGGAATGAATGATGTATGGATGATGTATAGCAAACCAAAGGAGATTAGAGCATATCAGATTCATCATTATAAAAATAAAATGTATAGTGAAATACTTTAACAATATTGTAAGTGATTTATTATAGTCTGAAGGTAATATAATATGAGAAGGGGCTGTTTTAATCAGTGCATCTTTGTGGTGGAGTTATCAACAAGTTTTAAATTTGTTCTCAACATTTACCATTTCAAGTAATCACTTGGTAGCTTTTATCTAGAGGCACACACACAAAATCTTTTAAATACATTTTTGACCACTTTGATCACTTCTAAGGTGATTTGCCTGTTCTGTCACAAACAAGAAAAAAAATATATAGAAGATGCCTTGCATATTAGACTTTCTCCCTGCTGGGAGCACTGGATTGAACTTGCTTAAAGCAAACCATACTTTAGAATCTCTGCAGGGCATGTGACATACAAAGCATCACTTTTAGCACATGAAATAATAATAATGATAGCAACCAACACTTAGTAGCTACTACGTGCCAAGCATTGCTCAAAGCATTTTACATGTATTAAGTGATTTAATTATGATCGCATATAGGAAGTTTATAAGGAAGTACTGAGGAGGAACTTGGGGATGGCTGAGTAAATGACATGAATTTAACATGCCCTGTAATTCTCACAGAAACAGTGAATTAAGGAGTTTTGCATGACCCCTGGTAAGTACCTTCATTGTGTTTGGTATGCGGGCGATAACATCTCAAAACTTATATCTGGATATCATCACTGGCTTTTTGTGCTGTGTCATTATGTGATACAGTTGTGGTCAGCTATCAGACAAGATAACAAGACATTAGATAATTTGATTTGGTAGACTTCATCAGAAATTAATTTTAAGAGTCGATGATAGTAGCACAAAATACACTTAATCTTTTGTTTAGATGAACTGTATGCCAACTTTATTGCTATCACTATGGGATTTATCTGATGAAAGTGTTAACTCTGCACATCTGTGAAAAAGTCATTGTAGATGGGCATTTATGGTATACCTCCCTATGGTAGCCTAGACAGAGGCTGTGTTGTGGAATTATCCATGCTTTTTGTTATACAGCATTTGTATTTGAGAGAAGCGATGAAGAATTGGGTGGAAAATTATTTTGTTATCTGTTGTAGGAATTCCACTAGGGATTTTAAGTGAAAAGAAATGGTTTTCATAAAATCTTTCAAAAGAATTTGTGTGTGTGTGTGTGTGTGTGTGACACCCCTTCTTCCCCCATATAAGTGTGGGGAAAAAAATAAGCCTTCCCACTTCTTATTCCTGATTAAGTATGGTCATGTAACCTTAGCATAGATGCTAGACATTCTTGAATAGTAATTACTATCAATTCTTATTTTTAAAACCATGAACAGCAGTCGTTTCCAACTATACTTCAATGACCACTAATGTTCAGTCAGGTTAACAGGTTTAGTTGTCAGTGCTGTTCACTGGATGTTCCTGGCTGTCTACTTACCAGCCATGTGCTAGGGCAGTACCTCCTCCACCCCTTGTGATTGGGTGGGGTCATGTGACTACTTCTGGCCAATGAGTTATGAGCCCAGATTTCAAATGTCACTTTCAGTCTAGAACATTTCACTGTGAAAACATACAGAGCTCACCCTTCTCTCTGCTAGAACAACCAGAAATGTTTAGATGGTGGCTGTTCTGACACCTTGGATCCCAGAGGGAAGGCCACATGGCACAGGATCTCCAGTCAATAAACAGTGGATATGTAGTGTGAGAGAGAAATAAACTGTTATTTTAAGCACTGAGGGTTAGAGACTGTTTGATACAGCAGCCTTAGTAAGACTATCCTGAGTGACACGTGTTTTCTGAAAAATAAGTTTTCATGGTCAAATGAGTCAAAGACCTCTTCAGTACGGGACTTCCCATCAATGTGTTATAGACATTGTGACTCTCCAACAGGGGGATATAGGTGCAATATTTTCCTAACTTATTGGTGGTCTGTGGAACAAAATTGAAAGCCTGCCATCCCAACTCAGAAACACACTTTTGAGCAGGACTCTCTGGCAGGTCTGTCTACGAGGAGTCAAGGCTCAGTGAGGTAGTCTTTCATAATGTATAACACACAACAAGTCAGCAATGCAGCTTGACAACAGTAGCACCTTCCCTCTTAGGTCTTTCGGTGTTACTTAGACCTTTCACTCATCCAGACCCACCTTGATGGACTTTCTTGAAATCGTCCTCCTAAGACCACAGCTCCTCTCTCAAGTCCTATGACCACACTGCATTAAGTTCAAATAATCGACAAATCTTATATTGAAGTGGATTATAATATGTTCCAGGTCTCCATGAACTCACTCCAGGTCTCATGAAAACCCTCCGTCTTTTGCCACTTGGTCATAGTCTGTGTGTAAGGGGCTCTCTTGCTGACATGGGCCATGGGGTCTCTGTTGCACATCACTAAAGATTAATGGGGCCAGTCACTTTCCTCTCCAGGCAGACCAGGCCAGAGGCAGCTTCTAGTTCCCATCTACTCCTAAATTCCAGACATCTGTTACTTTTCCTGGTCACCAAAATATCCACAAAAAAAGCCTTGAACTTTGCATCTGGATCCAGGAGGTAAAAAAAAATGTAAGCAATTATATACCAAAAAGAGACCTTCCTATTGGACCCCAGGACATTGGACTCTGCATATGCAGCAGCTGGATTTTGTGAAGCATTCAAATAACACCATACTCACCAAGAGAATCTTTCGTTTGTCCTTCCAATCAACTAACATTCATTGGGCTACCCCATGGGCCAGATACTGTACTAGGCACTAGGAATACAGCCTGTGCAAAAAAAGCAAAAACAGATAAGATCCTCCTTCTCTTGGAGTTGGTCGATTACCCAAGACAGCCATTAAAATTAACTAAAACTGGGATGAATAAATTGAAAGAAAGCTGCACATTTCTATGAAGCTGTAGTAGGGGAAATGACATTTAAAGGAGCTATAAATGTACACACTGCTATATTTAAAATAGATAATCAACAAGAACCTACTGTATAGCACAGGGAACTACACTCAATATTCTGTAATGACCTAAATGGGAAAAGAATTAGAAAAAGAATAGATAACATGTATATGTATAATAGAATTATTTTGCTGTATACCTGAAACTAACACAACATTGTTAATCAACTATACTCCAATATAAAATAAAAATTAAAAAAATAAAGGAGATGTAAAGCCCCCATAGAGTTACTCTAGTTAATGGGGAAGAGGGCCTAGGCAGAGGGAACAGTAGTTGTGAATGCTCTGAGTCAGGAAGGAACATGACACATCCTGAAGAAGGGTTAGCTGAGCTGGAGTGTAAAGAAAGAGGAAAAGAGTGGTGGCAGATGAGGCTGGAGATGTATGCAGGAACTGGTGATTGTGTGTGTGTGTGTGTGTGTGTGTGTGTGTGTGTGTGTGTGTGTGTGTGTTTACAACACATATGAAAAAATACAGCTAAGTGACCTGAGAATACAAATCAAGGGAATCATTGTTGAAATTGGCACTCCTGATTTTTTTTGCTATACTGCATTTGCCTATGCCTTCCTGGAATTCATTTATTATTGGCCTTTTAACAAACAATGACTATTGATGCTCACCTAGATAGGGCAGTCTATACTTTAATTTGGGCTCCTTTGAGTCCTACTGAAATGCAAGATCTCATTAATCAGACCTTAATTCTCATCCATAATAGTTCCTAATTCACTCTCATATTATGAAGCTAAGAGCTAGATAGAGAAGATTAAATAAGAGTTCACAACAATGACCAGGGATGGTGGGTATGCCTCAGGGCCAGCAGCAAGCGATAAAGTGGTTGATAGACATAGTAGGCTGCAGTTTTCTGCAGTCTTGAACATGGCATGGAATTACTCATCCTGTTGAAACACATTTGAATTTTCTTTAGTTAACATAGGCATAATGTTTCAATTCAAAATGATTTTCTTCCCAGAGTGTTTCTAGTATAATCCATATATTCTCTGTCTTCTTGATCTCTTGAAAATTGACGTGCTTTGTTGTTGTTGTTGTTCCACTTTACATTTTAAATCTACTTCTCCAGTCATTTTTGGTTATATTCTGGAGGACAATCGTTTTGGAATTCATAACCCATCACTGTTGTGATCCACCATCTGTCTCAAAAAACATATAACCCATTCACATGGTTATTTAGGCTTTGAGGTCTGTGCAATTTTATTATCTGTGATCAAGTCATTTGTGTGATGGAAAACAATTTGCCTTTGGCAGTTTTCTGATTCTTGTTGAAAATGAAACTAGGATGTTGAATATCAAGGGGTTTTTCCTTCACCATTTAAAGGAAATAAATTGCAAAAGGGAACGCATCTTTCTTTGACATTCAACTTCTACATTTTGTGAAAATACCCAGTGTATTTAAGTAAATGATAGGTATTCAAGTTTTTTTCTTATTAAGAGGAAAATTTAGGATTAAGCAACAATTATTTAAATCGTGTTCTTAGAGACATGTGTACTAGTTGGTTATTTTTTGTACCTGTCCATGTATTTATAAATATAGACCTTATTTGAAATAACAAGAGCCTCTAGGCTCTGTAGTGAGTAGTTTCACTACATGAAAGTACATGACTATCTCTGCTAAGTGAAATTTGCATGAGAAAAGATCCAAAGGTGACAATGTAAATGGTTGCTTTATGTGATGATAGTAGGATATGTCCTTGAGGAATGTTTCCATCGCTGTAGAGAATTTATGCTGAGCTACCTATAATGCCCACTGAATTTCTTCTTCACTCAGATACATTTTTGGGGGGGTGTGCATTATTTGTTGAGGACAATAGGAACATCACAGCTTCCTTTCTGTACATTAATCTTCCTCCCTTTTCTGACAGATATGGTTTTGGGTATTCCTGAGATAAAGCTCAAGGTGATTTTGGACAAACTGGTTGGGTTTAAGCCCTCTCATTAGAAAGGCATTGTGAGATTTGTATTATTTACGCAGTACCCCAAAGTAACACCAATAAAGTGATTTAC